TGGCAATGCTTCCATCCTTGAACTGTCCTTCCCTTGGATTCTGAGATAGTGCAACACGTCTGATAAACAGGACATGATGAATAGTGCATGAAATCTCTGTGTCACTCTGTGCTGACTTAAGCCATGTCCCACACCTGTAAATGAAGCTCCTTTTTAACATTCCTCTCAGCATAGTCTTCCCTATCCTGTAGGTGGTGTCCATCAGGTGAGTTTATGTTTAATCACCGGATCAGTACATTCTAAACCATTCAATACATAGTACATTTTATGTTACTAAAATTTTTAAATTCGATTTAAACAGGATATAACAACATTTTACTTTTTGTGGTGCTGGGGACTGAATGTAGGGCCTCCTAAATGGTAGATAAGTACTCTACCTTCAGCTACAACCTTAGTCATTCTTAAAATTTCTTATTTTGAGACCAGGTCTCACCAAATTGCCCAGGTTGGCCTGGAACTCATGATTCTCCTGCCTCAACCCTGAGTAACTGCCTGAGATGACCCCTGGCAAGGGGGTCATTTGCTTTTGCATCTGTGCCATGTACAAGGCTTTCTCCTGTGTTGAGACCATGGCCCCAGCTCGCTCCTTCTACTGCTGAATCATGTGCCATTGTGTGTCTATTTCACACTCAGCATCAGTGAAGTAGAACAGGCGTGGAGAGCTGCCTGTCTTCCTCTCCACGCGGTGCCCTCTGCATGGGTCCACTGGCTGGCTCCCCCAAGTCACCAGGCAGGTTTTCTCCTCTGGAAAGTGGAGGGGCCCTAAGAGACACTGAAAGGAAGCCCTGGTAGGTGGGGTCATAGGTTACTTGATGACAGGGTGAGCTTATTTTGGACCTTACCCAGGAGCCCACCACCCGCATACCACTTCCTGTTGGCTCAGTTCTGGGCCATGAATGTTCCCAGCATACCTGAACGCTTCCAGCCCTGGCGAGGATGACATCTTGGCACACCACCACCTTCCACAGCACCTGGGGGGCCAGTCACCTTCCTGGACACAGAGGCAGCACTGCCCTGCTCCTCTCCAGTGATGCCCCTTGTCTTTCCGTGGTGCCTGCTGCTCGCTGCCCTGCTGTGTCCTTCAGTTCCATGAGGACAGGCCCCAGGCAAGGTATCCGCCAGGGCCCTCACCCAGTTCCTCATTAGCACTCCAGGTTTAGTTCTTACGGCAAACACCCCC